ATTATAATATTATGTCATTTATAAACTCAACATGATAGTTATAACTGTGTACAATTATAATTATTTATAATACTTGGAAGTTAATTTAATAAAAATGAAAATATGACCTAAAATTCTTGTTAAAAATGCCTTCAACAAAATTCAAAAGCTGTAAAATTCATAAAATAAGATAAATAGTACTTTTTCTAATTAATTTTAATGCATTTCATTTGATAAACCAAATGTTTTCAATAGCACATAATAAAAATAACTTTTTTTTTTTAAAGTATATAAATATTTATTTGTTATATTTAACAAATATTTTGTCAAATCAATAATTTTATAATTCAATTAAAATTATTCTAATCTTAAAATTCTGTATAATTCATAAATGAAAAGTCACAATTTTTGTTTAAATTGCATGAAAATATAAAAAAACACAAAAAAAAGGATCAGCTATTTAGAATTGTATGTCATTGGATCACATTAAAAAAATATATATCTTTTAAGACTTCCGAGCCAAAATAATTAATAATAAATAAAATATCTGTCTTATTGTTGCAGGTAAATCATTAAATTGAATACTTAAATATTTATTTACACATTTAACGACATATTTAATTATACGAAGTTATGAACTTAACCTCTTTTTTTCATAGTTTTTTTATTGAAAATTTAAAGCAGTGAGCATTAAAAAACTAAAAGAAATGAAGAAACAAAAGTTCTTTTGGTGTATCACAATATAATACATTATATATATTTTTAAGTGTGATAAACAAAAATGAATGAGCTTCATTAAAATGCTCACATATTCGTGATTTTCTGATGGAAGCGAGATAGTTTTCCTTATTTTCAAAGAATTACTTCTTGGAATACAATTTGCATTAGAAATAGTTGGTATACATAAAGTTTATAGTCAATACAATAACAATAGTTAGTAACATGCAGAAATTTTTTTTTCTATAAAATATATTGTAATAACGTCTGTGTGTCTCCACGATAAGATCAAAGTGCAACTTGAGTTGATTTATATCCAAAGCCATCTTACATAGTGCGATTAGATAATGTTTATGCAATTGAAATTATTGTAGTACGATAATATAAAATTATATTATTACAAGCGACATGGATTCTTCTCAGAAATTTGACTGTATTCATGTGTATGCAAATAAGTTGCTTCCGATTATAAACACTTCATAGTTTATAGAACTCGACTAGTTGATTGCAAATAAAATAAGAGATATCTATACAAATTACCGTATTTTCTAACGCGTCCATATATTGATTAAAGTAAGAAAAATATTCAACCTTTTTTGCGATAAAATCCGTGGCTGCTTGCCAGGTAAAAATATTTATATTAATCATGTGGATCAGATTATTACGACAGAAAACTTATGCATATTATGTGATTTGATACCCATTTGCATTAAACAACATACAAATACTACAAATATATATTATTATACTATAAATTATAATGCGTACCAATATACAATAATATACAGTACAGATGACCTTATATTTAAAGATGTTTCATTTTGAAAGCGCGAAATAATTACATTAATATAGGCACTTGAGATTACATAATGTCATACAACTATAACCATAATGATTGAGCATTATTTTCTTTAAGTTAACGCGTTTTAACATTTGATCTAAGTAAGGTACCTAAATCTATCATTTATTAAACTTCTTTATTTTTTTTTTTTTTAACGTTTTACATGTAATATTGCATAAGAAAACTTCATTTTAAATTCTATACAGATAACCATACTCGGATCGTAAATTCAAAATGAATGCTATATCGTTTGCAATCTTGTATAGGTAATCATTTCAACGTAATAAATAATCCTTCATTAAAAGTATAACTATTGAGTAATGACTAATAATCTGAATTTTTTTTATACATTTGAACACAGGTCCTTTTTTATAAATAATCATCAATTAAGAACATTTACACTATTAATTTAAAGGGAATTTTATTTTATTCAAGATGAGACTATTTTAAAATATAGATAATTATTCTTTAGTTCTATCAATTTTCATATTTAAAATAAAAATTATAATTATCATCATTATGCTTAATAATTTATGTTTATAAAATACAAATTAATTAATATACTGTTGAAATATTTTAGTACCTAATATAAATAACTAAGTATAAGATAGTTTAGTTAAAAAATGGTTAGAGTATTTCTGTTTTTCGTGATTTCTCAGGTAAATGTAGACATTTAAATATTTATTTGTGTATGGATAAGTAATTCTATTTTACTTTAATATTAAAAGGTATTCATATTGACTAATCTAGCATACTGACTACATTGTTTAAAATTATTGAACTTTTTATCATTCTAAAAATGTTTTTCAATAAGATGCATTATTATAAAACAAAAGGCTTTTATCCACTTTAAATCTAAAATACACAATAAAATTTAATAGGCAACTATGATTTTACTTTTTAGATTAAAACTTAACTAACTAGATACTTTTTTACAACTTCTATTTTGTATAAGTAATAATTTAGAACAAATTGTTATAATTCACATTGACCTAGCTTGATCCGTTGTATAGACAATGCTTAATACTTACAAACTGTTCAATTTCGTTGTAACTCGTTCAATGTCATTTAAAAATCAATTGTGTACGTTTTATCTACCTATGCGTACCTATATATAGTTTCACTATCATTTTGATTACAGTGTTTAAAAATTGAAATTGATTCGTGTTGCACAATATCCACCACACGGCAGCGGTATCCGTTGCCATCGGGTGACTTCATAATAACGGCACCGTTAACTCGCTTCAATACACTCTGAGGGCGACCAGTCATGAAATCTAATGAGTTGATTTATAACGGATAGGCGGCTCTAGTGCGTTGCATTGAATTCTAATTAACGCTAATAGTTAATACTAACCATGACACGATGATGAAAAAATAACAATAATTGCTCTAAGTTCATAAATAAGTCTTATTATCAAATTTTAGTATCATGAAATATTTATGAAATATTTTTATAACGGTTAAACGATGGTATTATTATTAAGAATACGATAATACTACTAATATTGTTGAATATTACAAAAGTATTGAACACATATGCTATATAATATATTATTGTTTATTTAATTATTTACGATAATTTGTATTAACTTTTTAAATACAATTTTAATTTATTTCAAAGTAAGTATAGTTATATGGTATACATTATACAAGAACATCACAAGAACATTAAAAAAAAATTAATTTCTCTAACACACTATCATAAAAGTAGATACAGGTAGATCAATGGAATATTATTAGGTCATATGTATTATTATACATGATATTATCGTAAACAATGAATTGTATAATTTAGGCCTTCTTTTAACATTGTGTTAAAGCTAATTAATATTTTGGAAAATATTTAATCTGTAGACGGATAAAATAATCCGTTTTTAACCAAATTGGATTTAATTATATAAACACTTATCAAATTTCAATTAATTTTTATTTTACCATCAAACTGTTTCATTAAATAATTTCCATATATTAGGTATCTATGTAGGTATATATTTTTAAGAAATGGTGATAATAATATAATATAACCTGTTCCGCGAACCGAGCGAATGACCTCTAAGGACGATGTTTTGAGACGGAATAGTATGAATAAGTATTAATAGGTATTACGATACGAAAAGATGAAATCGAAATTCTAAAGTCTATGATTATAAATTTATAACAATCATCTCAAGTGTGAATATTATGAAAACGCAATGAATTTCCTATTCACGTATACATATATTTATTATATTATAATAATATAGGCATAATATTATAAATTTTTTATATATAAGTTGGACTTGTTTGAGTGCTCATGAACATCTGTCAACTACTGAAATAAGTAGGTATATATATATATATATTGATTTCGCGTAGATTGTTTCAACCGAACCGACATGCCTACACTCATGGGATCCCAAACCGATCGTTCGCGGGGAAAATATTGAATACGCCACCGCCGTGCATAAAATAATATAATATTGTAAAAGAAATAATAAATACCAAAGAATAAAACATATAATATGATTAACTGGTGATTTTTTTTCTCGGAGAAAATAAAATAGTTTCACGCGGATCCATTATTTGCAGTGATGGTAGGAGAGAGTTTTTGTGGCGTAACTGCAGCATGTTCTGATTATCGTCCACACTGTAACGTCGCTATAATATTATAATTTATAATATGGGAGGGCGGGTACCGCGATAATTACCATGGCTCGATAACGTCGTGATTAGCGCGTGATTTATATAAAAACATTAGCACGCGGGGAAGTGACGATTTCCGAGCGAATCATCAGAAAAAACGTATGAGTATTGAATACCCCCAGCCGCAAATGAGATATTCATCTGGGAAAGAAGGGGTGAATCACATAATTAGTACTACAATATAATGGAAGTGGGGGTGTAAATGGTGACAAAACAACATAAGAAAACATACAACAGGGGAAAAAAATAACAGAGTGAGAATTGAAGAAAGGATTAAATCGAGAAAACTTGTGCGTCGTAAAAAAATAAACGAACAGTTAAAAAAAATATAAGGGAAGTTACGGATGGCTGGATAATAATAACGAATTGCTCAGTGGTAGGATCGTGATTTACGAATGTACCTTAGGTCCAAAAATCTTATACAGTAGTAGGTTACAGTATGGTCTCGTCGTTTCGACGTACGCGAATACGTAACCGATATAATAAAATAAACAACAACAAAAATACGCGTAGAAGTAGGTATTTGACTTTGCAGATACCTACCTATATGACTATAATCTATCTTATATAACATTGCGTACCTAACCTAACCCGACCTAACCCACATACGCGGGATAAAACTATCGCAGATCGTGGATCGCGCGAATCGCGAATCGTTGTCACGATAACGAACAGATTATAACCAGGTTAGGTAGGTAGCTACACAGATCGCGGGTACCTAGATCGGATCCGGAGCGTCAAGTATATCAAAACGATTGCTATTACTATCGCTACTTACGAGATCCTTCAGATCCTTGTCGTACTGCGGACAGTCGAGGACGTTCGGGGCGGCGAGTGCAAGAGGGTCGCATGGACCTCGGCGGTCAACGGGTTGGTCGTGCGGGGTTGCGTTCTCCGCGGGCGTAACCTAGGCGCATAAATGAAGGCACGTCGCGCCAACGGGGTTACGATGATGCCGTCGGTCAGGTCGTTATCACTACGTCTTTGGCTCCGGGTCTGTCGCAGTGCGCATTACTCGCGGAGATTGCGACGAGCGCGCGTAACGCCTGCGAACGACTCGGCGCGGTGGCGTGGTATACGCCTACAATCGAAACGCCGCGGTTTCCGTCGTCGTCGGCTGATCGACGCGCCGGAACAGAACTATAATAAAAAAATAAAAAAACAGTCGTCGTCTGTGCGCGTCGCGTGCGTAAATGTGCCGCGACGATACAAAAAAAAAAATGAAAAAAAAGTGTAGTAGACACACCCCGAACGAGCGTCGCTAAATTTTCGGTTCTCCCGTCGAACGAACGAACGAACGGCGTCGTCGTTTTTATATTATTTTATAATATTATGCGTAGGTATTGTCGTATACAGTCACACGCGCGCGCGCGTACGATATTATTATAATGTGATAATATATTTCGAACAGGACGAGTGAAACGACGGTTGCGGTACTGTTACTACGAGAGACGACGATTAGTCGTTATTTATTATTATTGTCGATGGTGTCGTTTGAGAACAGCCGACGACCGCGGCGCGTGCGTCGTATATTGCGTATGACCGACGGACAGACACTGAGAGAGCAGTTCTCTGCCGCGGCTGATTTGGCGGCGGGACGACGGCGGTGTGCGCGTAACGCGGTCGGTGGCGATCGCCGGGGGATCGGCCGAAAGACTTGCCGCCGCGCGTCCTCCACCGTGCGGCCCGAGCCCAGGCCACTTCCACACCGGCCGCAGCGGTCGTCGCCACTCGTCACTGCCGCCGCCGCCGCCGCCGCCACTACCACATTTCGCGTGTGTTCTTCGCGGCGGCGGCGGCGGCGGCAGTCGGTGCAACGCCCCCGTGGACGATCGCTGCGGGTCGACGACGCGGGTTTTTCACACGGCCGGAACAAAGACGCGCGCGCGACGTCTGCGGCGGACCCGTCGCTCGGTCGTCGCCGCCGCGTAGAAACTAGAAGAAGACTCTTCGTCTACATCCGTAGTCACTGGCCACAAAGGGCACACGCGAGATACGGCGGCGAATAAAGTTACCGCCTACCGGGTTACCGGTGGAAGGTAGGGAGGTACGGTATAGGGTCGCCAAATTGTAAAAGTATAGTTCGAACGTCACAACGCTGGTATTTTTTTTTTTTTAATATCTCGAATATGGCAAGTGAAAGATATTTATTTTGATGAGAGAGCGAGTTAATTTCAACATTAGTTTTCCTAACTGTTGTATCCCCCGTCCCCTAAAGAGAAAACTAGGTATTTTTTAGATGCAGATGTTGTCTGTGAATTTTTTTCATGAATCTTTTAATCTTTTAGTATTAGAATAAAACTTCAACACCACAGATCAGTAAAAAAATACCGACTAACTAATGTATAAGCACAACGTTTTTAAGTTTAATGGAATTAAAAACTTTGCGCAGTTCACAGAGATACAAAACTTTAAAGGTATGCTGTATATACTATGTATATACCTGTTTACCTGCATGGCTACCTGTAGGTGGTTTTTCTTAAAAACTGCGTACATTGAATAGAAGCACCTACTTTATACATAATGAGGCTCTGATCTTAAGATTTGTTTCAGTGATTGATATTGATTTATTAGAAATAAGATTTTGATGAATTTGCATTTTTTCCTTATACATATAGATTTTATTACTAGGTACCTTGATATATCTTTAAATTGTCTCTATTGTACATAATGTGTATCAGTAACGTAGCCAGGGGGAGAGCTGAGGGGGCTGTAGCCCCCCTCCCCCAAAATTTTAAGAAAATTTAAAAATTATTGTATATTACTATTAAAATAAAATATCCAAAGTAATTAAAGTATACAAGTTTATTAAATCAATATATGTTAAGGGTTATAGGAATAAAAATCTAAAATAAAACTTCAACATCTGCATGTTCAAATTATGGAAGAACCTAAGTAAACCACAGCTATGTAAAAAATTGATCAGCCCCCCCCCCCCCCCGAACAAAAATCCTGGCTACGCCACTGATGTGTGTCCATATTACCACATAAATCGTCTCATATTTAAGTTAAGTCTCGCAATTATTGTACTAGAAACGTATTTAAAATTATATTTTTAGCAGGCATTTGATTTTGTGAACATAATATATAGTATCATATAGTATAAATCGATAACACTTGCAGCCTTTCAGGTGAGATTCAGTTGAAAAATATCGTAATTTTTAATCGCAAAAGTACCAATAACGTATCACCTGCGGTTGCCAACAGGCCGACGACAACAACAACAGCACTGGCTGCAGTCAACAGGAAATTGCAGAGATTCCTCGAGCACGCTTACACACATAATATATATTCTATTAGTAGCTCTATACTAATACATACATTATGACTCATTGTTTAATATCTGTAAATCCATCACGTCCCGATTGGTATACAACACTCGTTATTGTTCAGCCATCGATACTTCTTTTTCAAGCTCTGTAACCAATGGTTCAGTCTACTTACATTTTCCAGAATTCGCTTTATTTTCGAACTTCGTCCGTAAATGGATATGCGTGAAATGTAAAAAACTCAAGTATTATGTAATTCAATACTACGGCGGCTATTAAGTGTATTACTCGAAAAAACAATTGTCATTTTAGGATTGACTGAGGACTGAGCAAGGCACAAGCTATAAATCATTATTCCTGATATTGATTAAATTATTATTATGTATAGTTAAAATGTATTCAATAAAATTCGTACGAATAACTGTTTAATAAAAAAATATTTATCAAAATTAAATTCATATAAATAATCAATAAAGAAATTACATATCAACAAAGTATTAGTTTTTATTACTTGAGAATAATATAGTTTGTTAAAAGGACAATAATAATTATTGACATAGTTTGTATTAAATATTATATATTTATATCATTTAAACACAGCTCATTTAAAATATAAAATATATATGCAGGCCGAATTGGGCTACTATGCTACTGTCTACTATTCTACAACACAATGGGCCGCACGCCTCAATTTTATAATAAAATAATTGAGTTTTTTTAAACAATTAATAAGCAATAAAATAAAAAGGTTTTTTATGTTGTATCTATGGGCCTATGGGCCGCCTGCTTTCTGAGAATAGTAGGCCGGTATCCTCCTAGTCCGGGCCTGAATATATGCATACTACATTGAATAAAAATTAATAATATATATTTATGTAACTAAATAATCGTTTTTTTATAATTATGTTTGTATTGAAACTTATTACATATGAATCATATGATTATAAATTATAATATTAAATAATAGAAATTTTATTAATTTCTAAATAATAATTAACAATTCTGTAAATAAGTATTTAATTTAATAAATTTATTTATTTTTTAATTCTAAACATACATTTAGCAAGCCTTAATATAACAACTAACAAATACCTAACTCTTAATAATTAATTAAAGACTATTTTTAGTAATAGGCAATAGCTATTTAGAACTAATTAGTTAAATACCTCTTGGTATATAGAAATATTTGGCCATTAATTCAGCAAAGCTAACGCTTGAGAACTCTGAAGTGTCTTTTTTAATATTGTTTAGCATCTTAACCCAAAATATCTTTTCCTCCACTAAAGTCGCCTGTGGAATAATTAGGTAATGCATTTTAAAAATATACGTTTATTAAATAATAATCAGTGTTCACTGATCAGAATTTCAAATAAATAAGTTTTTTTTATTATTACATATAGGTAATACAAAACTACAAAAGAATTTACCTATTACTCCCAATTTATCTAATTTTATCTAATAAAAACACCAAGCATGTTAAAATATTAAAACTTTGAACTAAATAATAAAGAGAGTCATTTAACTAGCCTAGTATGTATAGTATAAAAAGCCATTTATTTATTTTAAAAAGTAAAGAGAAGACAGAAATAATAATGCAGGTACTGTATTGTAAACATTATTATTTTATAACATATTGTTTTCCATAGATAGTACATGATGGTTACATTATACACGCTACATACCATTATTATGTTTCACCACTTTGTTATCGTACATTCTACCACTCACCTATCTACTAAATATAACTAACCTATTATAGATAAACTAAAACTATAATTTAATTAAATTCTGATCAGCACTTAAATAATTAATTTAATTTATCAAAGATAATATTAATATGATAATAAATTTACTTGCAATGTAAATGAATGTTTAGATCCCGTGTTAGATACTAAACGAAAACTTAGTGGATTCCCTTTCACATGTTCAATCACAGTAAAGTTTCGGCTCTAAAAAAAAATTTAAAGTTTACTATGAATGATGACATTGCTAGGAAAAACTCACCTTTATATGAGTTTTGTATTCCAACAGTCCACATTTTTGTTCTTTGACGATCAATAACATATTGTTCAATATAATCACATGTAGTTTCTTCTTCGTTCCCGCGATCATTAAATCGCCTTCGGCATGTAATTCAAAACAATTGTTAGATAGATCGACCTGTAAAGAACAATACATTTGTAAAGTTGATTTAAATTATATTATAATTTTGTATTATTATAGTTAACGAAACACGAATTAATATTGGAATAAATAATTATTATTTGAGTATAATGACACTCTATTATGCTACAGAGTGCAGAAGGTGGTTATTACATTTGTTTTATCCTTCAAATGTTTAATCATCAATCGTATATCCTTAATGCGGCCTTCTTTTTCATATTTATTTTTTGTCTCATCAATAATTTTAGCTAGAATAACCATTTTATCATGAGCTTTTACGACTAAAGAATGATCAGTTTCGTTACACGATGTATATGCAGCTAATTTCTGTAAAAAAAATAAGCGCTATATTTAAAATTGATTACAATATTTCAAGTAGTTACGTACCTAATAATTTATTATTTATGTAATTTAAACTTGAATAATTGTAATTCTAACTAAAAAAAAAAAAACACTAGAAATTCTTATGTAGCTCGGATGTATATTCGACTATATTGATAATTTAAGGAATAATGTAATATTTCAAGTTTCTAGAATTATTAAAAAATTAAAAAAAACCATTTATATCGTAATTCGTTATTATACGTTTAAATATCCAATATCGTTAAAATTTAACTACAATCGCTTTTTTTATTTATAGTTATTAGAATGTATATAAAATTTTGTGTTCAATCTTCAAAATTGGGTATAAAAATTAAAATTTATATGAATTATTACCCACAGAATAATTTGAAAATGTTCGTGTTTTGCCAAAAATTTAACTTAAAACATTTATAAAAAAAAATTGTGGCTATGAATTTTTAATACTTTTTAATTTAGACATATTATATACAGCTATAAGAAACTTTGAATTAAATTTTAAATAGCTTTTTAATTCTAAAATAAAAATTATATTATCATACCTATAAAAAGTGGACATTTTCAAATATTTATAAACAACGCAAGAAAAGTCAAAATATTTTGAAAATTATAAGTATTATATCTAGTAAATTTGAAAATAAATATTTGGAGAAAATTTCAAATCTTTATATAAATATATAATTACTCATTTTTAATTAACAACAAAAAAACAAAATCGTAAACTGTTTTTGCGTAATAAAATTTATACCATTTTTCCAATTTTTTTTTATTATTTTTTTTACAATCATTTTGAAAAGCACAATGAATTTTTTAACTTTATCTTTATTTAAATTTTTTATCAACACTACCCTCAAACTTAAAAGTTGAAATACTTTTACTGCTTTAAAAGTCAGCAAAAGACATAAAGAAATAATTAAATATGTAAATGTTTTATTTTAGGCCAGCAATTTAGTGTTAATTTTTTTTTTTTGATTTTGTAGTAAGATAAGACGTTAAATCATATGTATCTATAACTTTGAACAATTAGTTACAGTAACACATCAATACGTCATGACTTTTGATTCCAAGAAAACGTTCATGAAATAAAACAGATATACGAGTATTCACATTATTTTTAGCCGAAATTTATATAGACATATAATAATATGTTTAATATGTACATCAAAGCGAGTTTACATCATTTGACTGAAACTTATTTGAATACCTAACAATAAGTTAATTATATTTTCGTTCCCATTTTTAGAGACTCAAGACACTCGGCAAGCATTATTTAGTTTTAACTGATATGTATACCTATAATGTATTCTTGAATACGTATAAACACAGACAACATTTTTAACTTTAAATTTAACTCTAAGTTTAAATATAAAAATAATAAGAATAATATTATTACCACAAATACCACATTATTAAAACTGCTTAAAATAATTTAAAAAAATATTCTTTTGTATTTATTAAGATAATAAAATTACCAAACAAAATGAATGCAAACGCAAATTATACTCGTACGTACAATAAAGTATATTTTTCCAGTAAAATTCACATCAATCACATCAATATAACTAGACTTGGGAGTACATGTCACAATGTCACTTATACATTTTTGTATAATATTAGTTCATTATTTAAAAAAATGATCTATTTACCTACCATTTACTGATCAATTTCAACATAATACCTTAAGTAATAAATGATATCTTAAAATACGCTGTATGGGCAGTACTAGATAAGATCCAAGTGGAAGACGATGTCCTAATTCTTTTTGCCTTTGATATATGATGTTGGTTGACTGTCGATTTTGCATTATTTTTGATATTATGGCATCAGAACTAAACATTAATAACAGCGTCATTACCTATTTTATAGTTTGTTATTTTTAACCATTGTAACTTACTTTTGGAAATTAATACAGTATGTTGAGTAAATAATAAACCCAAGATGATTATTCAAAAAACAGTGAGCAATTTGTGGTACGTTATTATTGGCCAATGCTAATTCGTTTAAAAATATTCTGTAATCCAAAAAACAAACATTTAAATTTTAAATAATGTAAGCATAAAGCAACCATATTAAACACATTTTGTTATTCTTTATTAATGTTCTATTAACATATATTTTTAAAATATTCGTATATTCGTATAAAATTAAATTTATAATTTCTCTTTTATCATTGTTAGCGAAAGCCGAAAAGTATTAATAATATTCAAATTATATTTTTCGTACAATTTAAAGTAATAAAAAAAGAAAATCATTTTTGAAAAAATTATACTTCTTATCTTTTTTAAGTTGTTACTTTTTGAATAACTAATCATTTGTATACATTTCATATTATTCTGAAGCAAAACATTTTCATATTTAAAAATCAATTCTTAAAAGGTTAGATTAATCGCTAATGGTTTACTTCTATAGAATAATTTTACTATTAGCCATTAGGCATTTCTTATTAGTTATAAGAATTTAAAATGTAAAAGAACGGTTACCTAACCTATTGGTATCAACATTTTGGGTAGCCGTCTATTATGCCACTTCACTCCCTTTATGTTAACTTAAAATACATATTTTAACTTAAATTAACTTTCTAATAGGTATCAAAATTCTTAGAAAATTATTCTGCCTCAGAAAATAAAATAAAAATGTACATTGTCATTTAAAAAAGTGAAAAATAAACAAAATAATAATGAAAATGAAATAGAAAATAATTTTTTCTCAAAAAAATGTTGCATTGTTATATAGGATATAGCCAACATGAATAGTTTTCCGAGCCACACAGACAAATACGATATTACTAAGAACTAAAAAGTTTATAGACACATTTTACATAATTTGATAATTTTTTATAATCTAATACAAAAAAAAATTAAAATTTTTGATTTTATAAGTAAGACGCGAGCCGCATTTGACAATGACAAGAGCCACGTGTAGCTCGCGAGCCCCAAGTTGGCCACCTATGTTATATAGTATAGTGACTTTAAGTTATGCAAAAAACAATATTTTTAAAAACACTAATAGGTACTTTTTGAGTTTACAAATTTTAATTTCAAAACAATATTTTTCATATTTAAGTTATATGTCAATGTCACTTATATACTTTACACTTACAGCTATAATAGAACAAAAAATGTATTTATTTTTGTACTTAAATAGGTAATAAGTACCTTGAAAATTCATAAATTTCCGTGATATTTCCGAATAATTGATTGCAATGCTCTTTTGACAATATTTGCTTATGCTTCCAATATTCTAAATACTCCTATAATACATAACGTTGAATTTTAATATTCATTTAAACCAAAAATTATTTTTCTAAATAGCTATTATTATAATATCTATTAAATTGTCAATAACTAATAATTTAAAGTTTAATTGAATAGACTATTGTACTATAAAATACGTCAAGGGTAGTTCTCTATGCCTCTACAATTGCGTCACTTATCTAACTTATATCAAAATTCGAAACAATTGATTAATTTTTTGAACTGTCATAAAATCTAAAAAACGTAATATTACTACAATTATCTATCATTAAAAATGTAGACTAATTATTATTATTCTTAAATATAAAATTATAAGCGCGCTTTTTTTTTTTTAATTTTGCTGGTTTTATTTTTAATGTAACTTTTTTTGTATACATACCATGCAATGCTTATTTAAATATTTAAATTATTGTTTAATTGTTTTTAATGACATATTCAAATGATCACATGTAAACTCCACTAAAATTTTGTAAATTTCCCTAAAAACATTTTGCTACAAACATATTATACCTATTTGATTCCCAAAAATGGACAAGTTAATGAAAATAATTAGGTAACTCAAGTTGTTAAGAGTATCGATAAGTTAAAATTTTAAAAATTAACAATTATCAAATCATAAATTAACTCGATAAGTTAATATGAAACTTAATATTATGCCAACTCAGTTTAAAAAAGTTAATCTACTTTTACTAATTAGTATGTGCTATGTGAATATTATGAATCATATAAAGAGTAACTGCGTTCTTTCTAATTTCCTAAATTATAATAAACAAATTTATTACATTTTTATCATAATGTACACTGTACAGTGTAATACCTATTTTACTTTATGTGATAATCTAATCTAATCATATATTCTTCTATTTAATCGTCATGCTCTTTCGAAACACATACCTATACATATCTATTTGAACAAATAATTTAGTTTCCCTTACAATACTAATAATAATTATAGCAATAAAGATAACTGGGTCTGACTATTTTCCCTTCTTAGACAATCACATACCATCATCATTACTTAATCATTATTATTCTATAATAAATTTATTATTTATAACATCGTTTGTATTTTGTATGATGTTTGTACATAATGTGTTTATTTATTAATAATTAATCAATAGGTGTATGTCAGAAATAAAATTTATTATCAACGAACGTTGTGCATAAAATTTATAAATATTATTTTGAAAATACATTGATTCAAACTGGTGAAAAGAAGTGGCGTTGTTATATTAAGAAATTGTTCTCAGTTTTTAGGGGAGATTACATTAATTGTGCATTTAAATGTTTGAACGCTATATTAATAATTTAAAGTAATTTAATTATCTAGTCCTAATCATAACTACACATAATATAATTGCATACAAGTTACAATAAATGTTTAAATAAACACTACTTATTCAGTCAATATTTGATGTATACCTACATTTTCATTATACATATATATCTTATACGATAAAAATAATCAAAAGTTAGATTTTGTCGTTAAAACTAAAAATTTAATATTATAGAAACATACATCAATTCACTTCAAACTTTATAATTTATGTTTGTATGTATTTTATTTTTATATGTAATTTTAAGAATAATAATAATTTTTTATCAGGATTAAAAATAAAACACCAATTAAATATTTATCAAAAATTAAAAGCATAATATTATTGTTATCTACTATTCAGTATTCATATTTCACATGTATTCAATTTTAAATAATTTAAACTACAGATTAATTCAGCAAATTAATAACTTCATGTATGTTTGTAAATCGACTAGTTTACTAAGCATGCTGACATATTAATAATATATTTAATAAAAGAATAATGCTTTATAAATTCTTTATATTTATCTATACATAAATTAATAAAATAATAATAAACTTACCTCTACTATTTCTTTCAAATGATTTACATATGATTCTTCGGTTTCTAAAATCTCAGTTATCACCAAATTCTTTTTATTAATTATATCACAATAATTATCATTCATTTTGCTAAATACCCACAATACCTATAACAACATCACAAATAAAAGTAGGTAAATCAGTATATGACTGTTCTCATATAGTACTACCGTCAATATTATAACTTTAGAAAATATTATTATTACAATATACACTTAAACGTACAAAAGGTAAATAATTACCTATACATTTCAATATTACGTCATTGTTTATTTCCATTAATAAATGTTTTAAATTTTTAATTAATAAATAATAAACAAGTATAGAATTTGTACAGGTTTGTACAACATTGTTATAAATGTTATAATAGTCATAAAAAAAATAATCTAGTTAACCTCTTTTATAAGTCATTGCGTGTAATTTTTTTCTATGTCAATAATTAAAAAATAAAATCAATTAAAAATAAGACGCGACCACTATTTTATACTTAACCTTATTTAATTATTTGTTCAGAGAAGGGAATACCTATATGGTTCAGGGTTCTATGTGAATACAAAACATCACATTTATATACAAATACGCCTAACATACCTAACTAAAAAAATCCTATTCCTAGATCCATAAAAGTTTTTCATCAATCGGTTTTATCAAAAACTGATATTGTTGTTATTATTTACATCATTAAAATTATTATTTATTATTAATTTACAGTATTAAATATTTTATATGGGATTCAATTAATCACCTTATTTTTATAAGTGAGAATTTAAGCATTTAATTCAGCACCTTTTTCTTAGATAGAACTCAGTTTACTAAGTTTACTTATAAATAATAAAATGAGACTTAATTTACCGAATCCAGTGTCAAAATCTGTAATTTATAACCAATGATCCTTGCGATTCGCAAACACTCCGATGGTGACAGTAACATTCAATCGTCTTTCACCGAGGCGGTAATTGTATCCGGTTGACGGCTATATAAGAAACCCATAAGGTTCACTATATTCTTATCTTAATAATATTTAGATAAATTCACTGTAATATAAAAGATTTAATGAATTCTTCAGAATATATAATTTACTATGTTATGCATTTATAAAATGGCACTTTAATGAAAACGTCATGCCGCACACATCTACATGCATATTGACTCCATATTTTTAACACATGAATAACCCGGGCTTGAAAGTTGTAGCGCTAAAAATGTTACTTTTTAGCTCTTGAATATGCACTTAAAAAAATATAAGCTATGAATAGTTCGAAAAAATAAAAAATATACATTTAACTTGAAAATTTATAGATTTATTAGAAAAAAAATTAAATGTTATTTTAAAATTTTATAATTTATAGTTAAAAAGTAAAAAAAAATTTCAAGAATTCAAATATTTTTAAAAAATATAACCAAATAAATCATTATTTTCAACAAAATTCGAATATTTTATATTATATTATGTGAAAATATTACCCAAAATAGCACTATAAACACTAAATTAGCAAAATAGCAATAAAAACCATTAGGTAATATGCAAAAAAAATAGCAAAATTAAATTTCGTGTATGGCATCAGAGAAGTGTGAAACATATTTGCATCTTACTTTGGATTTTCTAGGACGAACCAAAAAAATATGTATTTGCTACAATAACTTTCGAACCCTGTGTATAACAGTATAATATAGGTACCAATTATATTTAGGTTCAGCAGTTTTAGTTTTGTGTTAACTTAAATATTAGAGTGAATTTGCTTATGAGTAAGTAAAATATTAAAATGTAATAATGCTCTTAACTCGCTTAAAAGCTATAAACAGTATTATAAACAGGCAACAGCCAACGATACTATGTATACGGTCAACGAGAGTACGTAAATAATGTTTTAAGTTGTTACCTTTAAGTTTGATAATAGGCCATTTCACTTTAATGTTTAAGTTAAAAACATAAAACTAAAACAACTGAACCTTTAAATTGATGTCTCATACGGTACGTTAATAAGCCACATGCGGATAAAAATAGTATGACGTCCTCATGAGCGCCATTTTTTAATTAATAATCTAAAAATACGATAAAAAAATTTACATAATATGATAATACTTTCTATATACATTAAACCGATTATTACTGATTAGTGATAAGTGATTACAGAATACTACAGCCTATGATGTTATTACTTATTATTTTTAATTTAAATGCAATAAATACGTGAATAGTGAATAATATGCATTATATATTATATCCTTCATAGTTCATATTTTCATAACGGCTTGAGGCTTCAAACGTCATCGTTAAGTTTTAAAGGTAAAACGCTAAAACATTAGAACTGTGGCTTTATGCCAATAACTTAAAAGAATGTATACTTATAGTTTGTTATCTTAAGAAATAGTAAATTTTGTAATACATTACAGTACCTAGCTATGTTAAATTATTTTTGGGATGTGCCAGTATTAAACGTTTAGTAATTGTTATAACACTAAAATAATCTAATTTTACAGAATAGAATCAGTCGTTATACCTACTTATAAATTTATATCTATCATCATGAAAATCTACCGATTAAATGTCCAAATTCGTACAATTTACACTAGTATTCGTTTGCAAATGAAGCCATCTGAACTCTATGATCAACGGGTGAGTGATGGCCAATTAATCAATGATGATCATCAGCGCAAAATCGTCAAACAGCTTGATGAAGTGTATACATCGTTGAAAGATTATTCGCCACCATCTCAAAGTGTGATTTCAAAATTATTTGGTGGACTGAAAAAACCTTTAAATGGTGTTTACATGCATGGATCGGTTGGATGTGGTAAAACCATGTTAATGGATTTATTTTTTTCCTGTTGCGAAGTAATTATTATATTTTGTAATTATTAATATTGGTACTAACATATTTATATATTTGACAATTATTAAAACAAGAAGTATAAAATATGAGAATTTTGATAAGTATATGTTTTAATTAGAATCAATTTTCAATTTATTATTTATATAATATTAATGTTTTTAAACATTAAAATTGTTTTTTCATAATTCTTAATTTTTTTCTTAATTTATAACTAAGTACATTATCTTAAATTGTTTTCATATAAGAAAAAAAATAATGGAGAAAAGCTTACAAACGTTAGTACAAAATTACTACTCAACACAATTATTAATAATTGGCAATTGTCCAACATTCATATTTATTATTAGCAAATTTTCCAATTTTATAGGTAAAAAAAAAACGAAGAGTCCATTTTGATGAGTTTATGTTGGATATTCATAATAGAGTTCATAATTTAAGATTGAGCACTAAAAACAATTTTGATGCGATTCCAATGGTTGCTGATACAATACTAGAACAATCATGGTTACTTTGTTTCGATGAATTTCAGGTACTTAAAAAAAGTTATTTTTTTCTTTCTTAAATATCACACTTCTAATTGTAGGACTATCATAAATTCATGCTAGGTGACTGACATAGCAAATGCGATGATATTAAAACGACTATTCACTGAGCTTTTTGATAAAGGTATGGTTATGGTAGCGACCAGCAATCGTAAACCAGATGATCTATATAAGAATGGATTACAAAGATTTTTGTTTTTACCATTTATACCAGTGTTAAAACAACATTCAATAGTAGTAAATCTGGATTCTGGTATTGATTATAGAGTTATAAGAGCAAAAAGTGGATACAAATCATATTTTGTGTGAGTAGGTATAGATTATAAACTTATTTTTATAAAAACAATAACTTGTGGTACTATTACACTATCAATGTGTTCCATCATTCTTCATGATCCTATTAAAAATGTTCTTGTTAAATTAAACAATAACTACCAAATCACCATGGAAAAGTAATAAAATATTTTTAACTATTTGGTATACTAACTGAAATATAGAATTAACAGTATAATAATCCTTCACATTAAAATTTAATAATTTTTTTTTATAAAAAAAAAAACAGTATTTTATGACACTTAATTGACAATTTGTTATTTACTGTAAAATTGTTATTCATTTTTCCATAGGCGAAATGTTGATACCATAAAAGATTTTGAAAATTCCATAAAAAGATTTACAAACAGTGAAAATGATACTGTTAGACCAAGAACTTTAATTATTATGCAAAGAAATCTTACATTCCAAAGAGTATGTGGACAAATCTTGGATGCTTCTTTTGAAGAACTATGCGATAGGGTAAATATTATATTCCATTTATTATACTTAATGAATATAAAAGATAAATGCTTCAGCCTTTAGGAGCTGTGGATTACTTATATTTAGCTCAAATGTTTCACACAATAGCTATTAGAGATGTCCCTCAACTGGATTTAGATTCATTATCACCATTAAGACGTTTTATCACTCTGATTGATACACTTTATGATAATAAGGTAAAATCTTATAGATTTAATTTCTTAATTAACAATAGATAATATTATATATTTTTTTTAGATATTTGTTCTAATATACGCAGATAAACCAGTAAAAGAATTATTTGTAGCTAAAAAAACAGGTGGATTAGATGATGATCAAAAAGTTCTTATGGATGATTTAAATTTACAACCCGAATCGGTAAAGTACTTTGACATTTTTTACATTTTTAATATATTAAAAATTATTAATACCATAGAAGCTACTATTCCAACTATGTAATAGCAGTTTTTATATAAATATTTTTTAAGTGAAACATATTCAACTCTCAAGAAATTTAAATTGCTTACTAAATTAGAAATTCTATTGATATCCATTTATTATTATTCTTATAAATTTGATAGTAATGTAAAAAACACCCATTTAAAATAAAGTAAAATTTATCTATTTATAAACTTGGGTGATATGTAATTTATTCTCTCTAATAAGCCTTAAGAGTATGTTATAATCAAATATATTTTTCTGCTGGACTAATACATAACATAGCAAATTTTATCTGCAAGTTCAGTGTCCAGGGGCAGATTTATAGCACATTTTTTGTATACAGTCAAATTTTATTTAATATTTATTTTATTCTTGTATAAAAAAAATACTTAGTTTTTTTTTTAAATTTCAAATTTTTAAAAAGCGTATTTGGATTTTGTTTTTGTTTATTTATATATAGCAAAGTAATATTTCTATTAAAATCAAAATATTTTTAATAAACTTTAGTTAAAAGAAAAAATAATTACATAATATAATATAGAAAATGCATTATGTAAGGAAATTTTGTTGTATAGAAGAAGTGATTTTTTGAAGATAAAAGCTGCCCCTGTAATATGCCTGTATGCCTCCCTGCCTAGAGTTTTGAAAAAATGATTAAGTTTAGGTTTTTTTTTAATTCCAATACATGGCAGATTCTATCATTAAAACTTAAAACCAATAATTATAACATTCATTATAGTATTAACTTAACATTATATTTTTTTACCAAATACAATGTGTCAATGTCTTCAGAAAAATAAATGTATTGACTTTTTTTAGACCAATGCTAAAGCCAATGTATTTACTGGGGATGAAGAAATATTTGCTTTTGATCGAACAGTGTCAAGGCTCATAGAAATGCAATCAATTGACTATTGGAAAAATAACCGCTCAAAAGTATAATCCTAATAAAATCGGAATTAGTTTTAATAATTGGTTACCATTTTTATAATTCTGTTTAAAGGTGTTATTTGTTTTTGTCTTGTTAAGTTATGATTATTGATTATGAATCATAACAAAATTGACTATTTAGATGTAGGTATTTTACTATTTTGAATAGTATATAACTAAGTACCTATTAGATAAAAATGTACTTAATTTCTACTATGAAATCATAATATATCTTAATGGTTAGAAAAATTAATAAAACTATTACCTATGAATGAATATTATAACTATTGAATGTATAATTGTATGCTTTAAAAGTATTCATAAAATAGTAAATTAAAAATATTGTAATGAAAAAATTAAAAACATTTCTACCTTAAAAAAAAATAGTACTAAATAACTTAAATTAATAATTATGCTGTCATATTCAGATTAATTTTTTTATTATATAAATCAACCAGTAGACCTAATTTTTTTTTTGTACACTGCATAATATAACATGTCAACACTAATAATGGAAATGTTGTTTGTAGGTATGATTGTAATTTGTTACATTTTTCATTTTGACTACATTTGATTATACCAACTTACAATCATTAATAATCAACTTATATAATCATAGTACCTTCATGTATTAAACCTTAAGTTTTTCAAATTATTAAATAAAAGATGATTTAGAACAAAAAATTGGGTTTTTATTTTGTCCTTAAATAAACCATTCTTCATTTAATATATAAGTTTATAGATAATAATTTTAATTTGTAATTTTTATTTTATGTGAAGTATGAAAAGCATAAAAATAATACTAAAATAAATAATAAGATAGTGTAGACAACTATGTTGGAATGATAAATATATGTGAAAATTAAAGTGAAGTGGACCTATAGTTTTTAATAGTTAATTATGGATATTTTTAGCCTAGGTAAGTAGGTAATCTTGAATATTTCAATCTATAGGTTTTTGGATAAAATTTAATTTTGTACAAACCATGATGTATTTTTTATTATTCTTAATTCATCATTTTAAACAATTTAACACGTTTTTAAGTATGTCAATAGTATTTTATAGGGCTTGTACACAGGTGATAATATAGAATTGCTTGAATATTAACAATAAAGATTCCTTTGGAAATCATATTAAAACGCGCTAGTAAACTTGTTATTATTTCATTTATATGTTACAAACAGGTAAACCTTTTACTTGATGAAACTCCAAGGTACTGTCAAATTGTAGTGATAGTAGTGTGGAATAACATCATAGACTAAATATGATTCCTGTGCCTTTTAAGCATTGACTAGTATTTTCCAGTTTTATACCATTTTGATAGTTTAATTGATTTAGGTGATGATTTAAGTGATCCTGTAGATTAGTAGATAACAGTAATTGTCTAATATTATTTATTTCACTATAATTACATTGTTTTATCACCTGTGAAGAGGAAAATATTAGTAAGTGGCAACTATGGAACATCAGATCTGTAAATGTCTAGCGAGGCAAGGTCCAAATGGGAGCTCTGCAATTGTTTCTCCAAGGTTTATTTCTTTTCACCACATAAAAATTTAATAACTATTCATTATCTTAAACAACTACAAAAACCAAATATTAAACACTTTAAACTCAGAAGACAATAAGCATCTTCAATTAACTTCTATGACACCAGACATTGATAAACTTAGTCGTAAAAAACAAACACATTGCTCACATTGGACTTGTAATGCTGTATTGAAACAATAATAAATAATGTTTTCTCTTAATATTTTTATATTTTCATTTTTAATACTATTGCTTCTTTTATTAATAAACATTATTACTCTTACTCTCATATACATTTTGTACAATAGGTAGATAAAACTTGACATTAAATATTTCCAGAGGTTCATTTTAGGTTCAAATTACAGCTTAAAATAACTTGTGGCTGAAAAGTTGGGGAACTGTTACTCTAATCTAACCTTTAGATAATAATTTTAAAAATATAAATTTGAAGACGCAGCAGTAGCTGGGTTAATTAGTAAATAAGCAAGCCATGAGTGGCCTATCCTTGATTTATGTAAATAATATGTAACAGCTCCATATACAGTAGATATTGTCTACAATAACAGGTTACAATGGCATAACATGTTTAAAAACCTAAAATTAAAGGTCCCAGCAAAACTCTTGTTTATATATGCTCATATTTATCATCAGTTATATTTTCATAATGATCATAAATGTAATGACATTTATTTTCAGCATAAATTAACACTGCAGATAAGTAAACCAATGCAATTCTTAACGCTCATCATTTAAATTTAATTAATTTGACAAGTGATACATGGAGGAAAAATACAAGTAAGTACTTATTATCCACTTCCTTTTAACGCCATGTCTCTAGAGTTAAATCCAAATTAAAATAAATGACTGGATAATGTTATGTATTCATTAAAGTGTTAATCAATGTTGGAATTTTGTTGAATTTAGACTAATATTTTATCTATATTGTAAAATAATACTTAAAATTTGTAACTACAAATAAGAGACAAAAATCCATGTAATATCCATTATTTTCAATTTTTTGTTGAGCTGCAAAAATATTTTTGTATAAAATATATATTAAGTTCACAAAATGTGATATTTTAGTAATACATATACCACAGTCAAACAGTAAATGACAAATATTGCAATGCCATTACACATTAACATATAATAATTTAGTAAAAATGGATTAGATATAAACAAGTTTATAAATCTAATGCGTGCATTTAACAGTTAATAATCTCATATCCCATGAAGATAATTTATGAAAAGTTTGTAAGAGAACTTTTATCTCATTATTGATCTTAATAAAAATACTAACAGATTTATAAACTTTTATTGTTCTGTAGATTTTATGGTAAAAACAGCATCAATATAATATAACTTACATTTAAATTCCTGAACTTGCCTATTTATTAACTATGTAATGTTAAATAAATTTTTCAAATCATACAGATGACTCAATTCTTTTATTCTTAGTTAAAAACATATTTTTTTTATGCATGAAATAATAAATTTTAAATAAAAAAATATAAAATAAAAAAGAATAATGTATTTCCAAGTTGTAAGAGTATTCAGAATCCAAGAGTTAAGTTTTTTAATTTAATTTGAAATCAAATATTGATTCATATTTAAAACAGAAAAAAAAGTTATCCACAATAGAAATTAGATAAGTGTTGCTGATAAATGTATAATAAATATATCTACTTGGGTTCTTCTCTTAAGTTATACTTGATTTAATAAATTATTGTAATTTTATTTCAACTTCTTTAATCACAGCACAACTTTATTGTGGCTGTGGCGTGACCGCAGTAGCAGCAGTTGGCTTACCCCGATGGGTTGTTGGTGTGGATGAAACTTGTTGAGAAGCTGTATCTTTAACAAATTTGTCCACCTTAAACATTTAAAAAACATCTCCAAATAAATTATAATTATTTTAATTAAATTTATACAAAATTATAAAACAGGTGTTTCAATATAGATGTCACATCAAGTAGATTATCCATTTAATGAAATAAAGAATTTAAAATTGGTTACTATATTATGTCTAATATCAAAGTAACCTTAGATGGCAGTAATGTATGTGGCTAATATCCGTAGAATAACCTCGTTCTTATAAACATCAATTTATTATTTTAACCAAACTAATATTAAACTTAAGATTTATTAGATGCAGTCAATCGTTCCAAGCAAAAACTAACCATCAAATCAATACAAATTTAATTATTAAGTGGTGATCAAATCGAATCAATTAAAAATTGGTCACTACTTGATACTACCCATTTAACCACGTATAAGACAGAACTTAGATCATGCAACTTACCAAATTATTACATTTATTTTGGATGCATGATCAAAAATAAATTTTATCTCAACACAAAAATATTTAATATCCTTAAGTAGTCATAAATAATAATACTAAAACATTTTTGATAAATTTAAATAATATACTATAAGACATGAAATTTAAGTTAATCAAAATAAACAATAATTAGGTATTTTTTCTTCAATTTTCTTTTGAGTAAATTATAAAAAAGTACAATTATCATTGAATAAAACATTTCAACATCTACTTACAATATTCTTTATGTACAAAATAGCTTTGTCCTCTTGATTTCCGGTGCCTTTGACATTATCAGCCTTGTAAGGTGGGCTAATTATCACATGATCATATACAACAATATTCTGCCCTTGCCAAGTTACTTCTGGAATCCTAAGTATAAAACAGGTGGTTATTATTTACTTATTCCTTTTCAAATAATTAATAATTTATCATTAAAAGTTTACGTTTTAGTTATAGTCAAATATAATTTTTGTGCTTCGGGAGAAACATTGGCAGACATAGCTGATATTTGACGTTTCTTATCTTGTATTTGAGTTTTTATCCTATTATTTAACTGTAAATTATAAAACACATAATTAAATATTTAAATATCTCATAATATAGGGGAAGTAATAACATACTCTATTTAAATTTAAAGAAGGCAAAGGTGGTGGATTGAAATTGGACTCCTTTTTGACTTGTACATCTTTGGCAAACGCTAAGTTCACTATGTTGATGTTGTTTAACATTGGGTTATTATTAGTTGATGGACATTCTGATAATTTATATTAAGGAAATAAACAATTGCCTATACATTATAGTGATAATTGTACCTATTATTGATATAATTACACAGGTAGAAATTACATTAATTATGTTTTAATTATATAAAATAGTATTAAAATAAGTTAGGTATAACTAAATTATTAAAAAAGATTCTATAAATTTAGTACCAACCGCATTATTTATTCTATTCAGTAATCATTTTAATTTTTTATCATTTAAAAAAAAATAACAATAAAACAATAATACAGATGTATGTATAAAGTAATAGTAATATTAAAAGTATAGTGGAAAATGATTAGCATTATTTCTATGATAAAGTATATATATGATACATGAGGAAAATGTGATATTAGTATTATGTATTGGCGTTCAAGTGGGTCTAATACCAAAAAAAACATACGCCAAACATATCTGTTTATAGGGTCTTTATAATTCTCTCATCAAACATCACAATGCATCAGTATTGTCAAGGGTTTCCAAAAACATTTACAGGGGTAATTGATGTCTATAAGCAGTAAGATAGTAAGGGTATGGCAAACTATGCTTAAGGCAGTGT